TCCAGTATTTCAAAAACACTATTTGATACCTAGAGCTAGACAACCTCAGTTACATCCATATCAGGTCCCTTATGCTGTCCTCTATGTGGTGGTTTGAATGAGAATAGCCCCTATAGGCTCATATAATTGAATGTTTGGTCCACAGTTGATGGAATAGGTGGGGAATGATTAAGGATGGTCCTGTTGGTGAAGCTGTGTCAGTAGGGGACTTGGGGGTTCCAAAAGCCCAGGCCACTGCAGTTACTACATTAACCCCCCTCTCTTTCTCTTTGTCCCTGTACCATGATTATTGTCTCAACACATAATCTCTCAGTTACTGCTCCTGCCGCGCTCCCATCTATGATGGTCATGGGTCACAGACTCACTCTCTGAAACTGTAAACAAGCCTCCAATTAAATGCTTCCTTTTATGAATTGCCTTGGTCCCGGTGTCTCTTCACAGCTACATAAGAGTAACTAAGACATCTTCTTTCCTCTGAAATAGGGCAAGTGCAGCTAATAGTTGTGTTAATTTGAAAAGACTAAGAATGTCCAAGACTCACAAGAAGACAAATTAGGTAAGAGGACACACAGAGGCAAAACCTTCTAGGGTAATGCTGCAGAAATGAGACAGGACAGTTTATATGTGGGGATGGTCAGAAGTGGATGGAACAGAGAGCCAAGAAGTCATCCTGCTCATTATGAGCCCTGCTTTCTGATGAGGAAGACCATGGATCCATCTCCCAGAGCAGCCTGTCTATGCATCTAATCCCAGTGCAATCCCAGTTACCCCAGATACATGGTTCCACATCAGAGAGTCAATCAACTGGAGATGAAAGGTATTTTTAATCTGTGTCTGTATTGAGCACATACAGATATTTTGTTCTTGTTATAATCCTCCAATCAGTAAAGCAGAATGATTTATGCTGTTTGTACATTGTATCAAGCATTACAAGTCATTTAATGATAACTCAATTTCTTATGGGGAGGATATGCATAATTATACAAATGTTGTAATCTTAGGTACTTCTGGTCCTCTGCTTTATATCCATGGGAGACAGGAGGATGACCACAGGGTGTGGTCTTAGAACCATAGCCCTGCAAATACCTGGGGACAACAATTTCCAATGCCACCTTTTATTCTCCATGTTAATTAGGTTAACCACATGGGAACTTTTGATTGATGGACTTCAATATGTTGATAGATGGAACTTGGTAGTCAGCCCCAGGAGGAGGAAGTGGCCAAATAAGGCAATAGACCTTGGTAGCCAGCTTTAGGAATGTAATCTAACAGGTTTTAGCAAGGAGAGGGAATGAGGGTAAAGAGCAAGGCCTGTCAGAGCCATGCTTGCCATCCTCAGGACAGCTAAAGCCCCTCACTAAATATAGCATTTCACCTCAGTATTGATCCCAGATCTTTTTAAAGACATCAAAGTTTAAGTGACACCAACAGACCCACAAAACTTTTGTCCCAGCTTTTGATGCTGAGTGCAGGCATCTCCCTCTTCATGACTTCATGTCCCAAAATTTATTCTGTCTATAAAAAGTGAAGGGATGGGGGATGGAGCAGAGACTGAAGAAATGGTCAGCCAATAACCAGCCCAACCTGAGACCCATCCCATTGCTAAACACCAATTCTTGACCCTATTAATGATTCTCTGTTATGCTTCCAGACAGGAGCTGAGCATAACTGTCCTTTGAGAGGCTTTACCCAGCAGCTGACTGAAACAGATGCTGACACCTACAGCCAAACAGAGGATGGAGCTTGGGGACTTTTATGGAAGAGCTGGAGGAAGGATTACAGGCCCAAAGAGGTTAGGAACTCCACAGGAAGACCAACAGAGTCAACTAACCTGAACCCTTGGAGCCTCTCCTAGTCTGAACCACAACCAAAGAGCATGCACGGCCTGGACCTATGTCCCCCTGCTCATAGGTAGCAGATGTGCAGCTCTGTCTTCATGTGGGTCCCCCAACAACTGGAGCAGGGGCTATTGCTAATGCTGTTGCCTGTCTGTGGAATAAGTTCCTCTAACTGGGCTGCCTTGTCTGGCTTCAATGGGAAAGAATGCTCCTAGACCTGCAATGACATGATGTGCCAGGATGAGGTCATACTCAGGGGGTGCCTCCACCCACTCAGAGGAAAAGTGGAAGGACAGTTAGGAGGATGAGGTGAGGGACTGTGTGAGTGGGTTTCAGGCATAGAGGGCAGTGATCGGAATGTAAAGTGAAAAGAAAAAGACACCGAAGTGTGATTGGGAAGGAGGACCAATGTTCCCATGAAATGGGAACAAGAGTCAGTAAAGCAGGGGTCAATCTGAGTATGATGATATATCTGTATGAAAATGGAATAATGAAAGCCATTATTTTACACTATATAAGCTAAGTTTAAAAGTTTACAAATCATTTCTGCTCTCAAGGGCTGGGGCAGCAGCAATAGCTGAGTACAGGCATCTCCCTCTTCATGACTTCATTTGCTCCTTCTTCAGTTGCTCATGGTAATCTGTGTACCTAAGATAGAAGCGGAGATGTCCAGACATCCCATAGAAACACACTTCTTCAAACCACTTGGGAGTCTGACACAGGAAGATGGCCATTTACAGGCCATTTTGAACAACTTAGTGCTTTCTGATGGATAACAACAGTGATAGGACAGGAGGGCTGAATCCTCTATCACCCCCAACACATCCTACCCCCAACCCCCACACACATACACACACGCAGAGACAGACAGAGACACACAGAGAGAGACACAGAGAGAGACAGAGACATAAGGAGAGACTGGGGAGAGGGAGAGAGGGAGGGCTAGTGAGCATAAAACTTAAGGATTTGGAAAATTCCCCACCATGTTAAAGAAAGAAACCACATGCTCAGGAAAGAATATGGAGGCTGTGACAAAGGTAACATTTAATAAAGAGATTAATATGGCAAGAAGCCAGAGGCTATTAATTCCTGCCAGCCAGAGTGAGTCAAAGGCATCAAGCGATTATTCCAATTGCCATACCTACCACATGCCAGAATGCCTCTGACAAGAGTTTCAAGGGAGGGATCCAGGTAGGAACCCAGTGCACTGTGGGTCTTGGGATGCCACAACTGCTCCCACATTATAATGTGGCACTCTTTGGTTTTGCCATCTTTCTGGATGGAAGTCCTTGATGTTGTGTCAAGATGCTGAGGCCAGCTGGTTGTGAGGTGGTGCAGTGTGGCACATTCTCCTTGATTTAAAGGGATGCCTTTACGTGATAGGTCCTAGGCAGACATGGACTCACCACAGAGGGCTGCTTATTGGATCCTGGGGTTGTGACACTGCAAAGTTCCCACCAGAGAAGATGTTTCAAGGAACTAGAGGCGGGTTCTGAGCAGCAGAGCATTATTACAGACTTCTGCAGTCTGGGAAAGCCACAAGCACTGGTCAGCTCATGAGGGCTTCCACATCACCGCCATCTAGTGGTCATGGCGTTGAAGTTCACCAGAGCCTTGGACATCCAAGTGTAACCTGCCCTCCATGACTGTGGGAACTGGAGAGGATTCAAGTCTCAAGGTGTCACAGTACTTGTAATGCCGGCCTTTGAATGTCTGTAGAACCTACCACTCTTTCCTTGTCACTGATTTTTAAGAAAGAAATTCTGTTCTAAGATGGTCCCATTTTATTTCGGAAGAAACTAGCTTATTCGATTTCACAGGCTCACTGGGAATAATGTTTTGAATTTCATATCTCATTTTCGTAATACTATAATAAAGTTGGGATACATGGATTGAATATATTTTGTATGTGAAAAGGACTATGTCCATTTATGCTATTATTTTAAAAAACACATTTGAGGCTCAATAACTATGAATTCTGCATTTTCAAGACTTGTCATCTGAAATAGCCTTTGTCTGGACAGTGTCCCAAAAAGTGTAAGGCATCAAGGTATCAAAGGGGAAACAAAAAAGAGCCCAGGTGTGTCTCTTCTGATCTCTCGTCTGTCTTATAAAAGCAGACTGCTGAGTCCTCACCAGGACTCTGTTTCTCAGAGCTGAAGGCCTCCTCCAGGATTTCAGAGCTGAGATGCTGACAGCTCTGAAACAGCAGCAGCCTGGCAAAGCCACAAACTCCAGACTCATACCCTTTAAGAGCTGGAGCGAGCACGCCACCTAGTGGGCTGAGGATGATATTCCCACCCTGAGAACCTTGTGTAATTTTAATCACTTCTCAAAGCCCCCACCTCCCAAACACCACACACGAAGTTTCTATCTTCTGATCTCTCACAGTGGGCATTATATCCAACACCGGAGTGCTCAGGAGACACGCTCACCCATCTCCCCATCTCCCTTTCTCCTCTTTTCATCAGTTCTCAGGTCTAACAAACATCAACCCATGTGCTGTGAACCTCACTAACAATACGATTCTTACTTTGTCCTTCTGAATAAAGACAAGAAGCATTAAAAACTTCTGTGACTTTGCAGATTCAGACACTTCAGGGGAGAATAAAGCTGAGCCCATCAAGCTAAGGACAGCCTGGGCTAGTCAATTCTAATTTAAGTTGCATGGTGAGGGAATGTGTCCAAACTTTTAGTCTAATAGTGGAGAATGGTGGGTTGGGGGCCTCTCCAAGCTGGTGTGGTCCCTGAGCTAGGCCTGGCTCCTGAGAGGCAGCCAAGGCAAGGGTATTGCTTATAACTGTCAATCTTGGACCTCATGCAAGGGGCCACAAAGATATTTCTCCACCCCTACCCACACTCCTCACATAAAGGATTCCTTACAATTTTGCATTGCTTCAGTGGAATTCAAAAGGGAAACTTTGACCTGGAAGAGAGGACATTTATCCTCTTGGCCATTTGCAGCTGAGGAAGAAATAACTTACTGGGTCTCTGCTTAGAGAAGTAAAGAAAGGCCTGGAACTGAGAAAAGTAAGGGCCCCTTGGGAGTGCCTGCAATCTTCTGCTTTTATGTTGACAGCTCACCAAGCTGGGTGTTAACACTCAGGAAAGAAAAGCTTCTCCACCCACCTAGGGCTTGCCAGTAAGACACTCCCCTTCTGCATACTATAAAGGCAACAGCTGGCTCCGGGCACTTCCTCCTAGGTCAGCCAGCAAGTGGAGCCAGATCTGCTAAGCAGGAGGTAAGATTCTCAGGGGCCTAGCAGGGAGTGAGGTGGCTGGCACCTCCTCCAGGAACCAGCATGTCCCTGGTACTTCACCCTCACTCAAGAGGTGACCTGTGAATGCTCTGTAGATTCCCAGCCACACCCCTCTCTAGGACTCAGGCCAGAAGGTGATCCTAGCCACAGGTTTTCTTTCCCTCAGCTTTCCTTTTAAATCTTGATCAAGACAGTGTCCTGCAGTTCCATGGGGTCAATCTTGGCCACAGGGAGGCTGGGAGGGAAGCTGGTGAAAGCCTAGATCCTCAACAATGAGAACTGGGTGTGGCCCTGGTAGCTAAACATCCAGAGACAAGCAGCTGTGATTATCTTGTACTTGGACAAACTGGAGCTTTGAGTTTGGGACCCAGATGGATTAGCAGATGACCCCCAGCAGGGCTTGCTTACCCACTGGCCAGCTTGTTTGCAAAAGGGACACAGGAGAGTGTTCCTCTTCCCTGTCACCCACAGCCTGACTAGGAAGAGTGAATGGCAATCACAAACTTGCATATGTCACTCCAGCTGAGACTGCAGCCTTGACCTCAGGCATGAAGAACTGAATCCATGGAGAACTAAAATGACATCCCACAGGGAGAGAGAGAGAGACAGAGAGAGAGAGAGAGAGAGAGAGAGAGAGAGAGAGAGAGAGAGAGAGGCTCCAGACAGAAGGCTGTGTAGTGTGGGCACTGTGCTGAGGCCACCGGCATGGTCTCTCTTCAGACACAGCTGTCTGGAAGGTTAGAGCCATAAGATACCCTAGGCCCAGGTCCTGTGTCACTGCTGAAGTCTGTCCCCAGCTTTGTGTGACTGAAGGAGTATGTTTGCCCTCTTGGGAAAAACGGGATGGGGCAGGAATTCCAAGCTGTAGGGTCCTAGGGGTGGGTGGCAAAGCTGAGGTAGATGACCTTGCTGGTGTTGTAGCTGGCAATGCTGATGTCCCCTCTGTTGCAGCCTTCACCATGGAGCAGCTGAGTTCAGCCAACAGCCTATTCGCCTTGGAGCTGTTCCATACCCTGAACGAGAGCAACCCCACAGGAAATGTCTTCTTCTCTCCCTTCAGCATTTCTTCTGCCTTGGCCATGGTCTTCCTGGGGGCCAAAGGTAGCACTGCAGCCCAGCTCTCTAAGGTTAGCAGAAGCAAAACTGTCCAGCTCTCCCTGCCGTATCCCTGCTAACATGGTGAAGACTTTCAAAACCAACTTTACCCAGAACAATCAGTTGTTGGTTCACTAGTAGCTTTAAATGAGATTAGGACAGAGTCTCTCTGTTCCGTTGGGGACACAAAGTGAAGAAAGACAATGACAATACCTGTGGATTTTGTTCTCTCATTCATAAGAGTGAATAACAGACTTTCATGTAAGCAAACCCTGCACCTCCCCAGAGCTAGCTGTTTCATGTCTTCCTTTTGCGTTGATAAACATTACTCATAAATCATGCCTGTAATACAGTGTCACCTTCAGGCATGACAGATACAAGAACATGCTATAGGAGGCAGCTTGGTGGTGGTGGCTTTTTGTGGGGACAAGGTAAAGACAGCCATCTGTCTCTGTTCCCACGCTTAACCCTGTGCCTCTCTCCAGCTTGATTTCACTGGCTGTGGCTCTGCAGGGGAGAGATTGGAAAGTCCCTGTGGCCTGGTAGACAGGACCCACATCCTCTCAGCCCATCCCTGGGAGACAGCAGGTCACCTTTGCCTTCTTCCCACAGCTACCCAGTCTTCTTTAATGGGTGTGGAGGGGACTTCTGTTCTTGGTGTTCCATAATTCTGAGAGGGGAATTCTGCCTCCTTTGGAAGTCTAGACAGGAATGGGCAAAGTGTTTCCTAACTGACCTGCCTGGCTACTCTGTACCTGCTGCTCGGTGCTTCTCACAGGTTATGTCTGCTTTAGTGTTAAGGCTTTTACTGCTGACAGCTTCAGGAAACAGTACTCTCAAGGCCTTTCCCTCCCCATTTCAGTCTGGTAGGTGTGTTCATGTAGCAATCTAGCAAGCATAGCTCAGCATGGACTGTGGACCCTGTGTGCTTTTTGTCCTTTGTATCCTAGAAGTGAGTAAGTAGCCCAGACCTCACACAACCATAAGAGGCCTCTTGATTTACAACTAACAGAAGAGGACGTAAACTCTCACCAGAATAAACTTAAGAAGTTATTTTTCTAGGGAATGAGTTGTGAACCCTAAGATAAGCAAAGAGAAAGGTCTCAGTCAGTCCCATCTTTTGGGTCTCACAGTAGGAATGAGTCTTATTAACACTGTTCATTTATTTCTGAGATTTTTTATTTTTATTTTTAGCAAACTTGTATATGGCACAGAATATAAACATGAGCATACCATTTAAATCTTTATGGAAAAAAATCAGACAAATATTTAGCTTGCTAACCATCCACAGTTGGGGAACTATTAAAAATTATTTAGAAGTCATGTTTACTTATGTCTCACTGAGCCATCTATTTTTGGTTCCATTTGTTTATTTTGCCAGTGACATGTTAATAAACTACTAGGCTGGAATTACTCTGTATCAAATAAAAGTAATTTGGTGAAAGTAGACAACACAGAATCACTTCATAACTTCAAAAGAGATGATTGCATAAAGAATGTTTTCCAGCCATGCAGTGGTGGTGCAAGCCTTTAAACCCACCACTTGAGAAGCAGAGGCAGGTGGATTTCTGAGTTCGAGGCCAGCCTGGTCTATAGAGTGAGTTCCAGGACAGCCAGGGCTACACAGAGAAACCCTGTCTCAAAAAACCAAAAAAAAAAAAAAAAAGAATGTTTTCCTTCCTTTAGACATTTCATTTCGACTCTGTGGAGGACGTCCATTCACGCTTTCAAAGCCTGAATGCTGAAGTGAGCAAGCGTGGAGCATCTCACACTCTGAAACTTGCTAACAGACTCTATGGAGAGAAAACCTACAATTTCCTCCCTGTAAGTACCTAGCACTTCACATTCTGAAACTTCCTGAAGTGAGGCAGACTTTTCCTGGCACAGCCATGTTGCAGGCCATTCATAAAAACAGCAAAGAATGTGTGTGGGACTTTCACCTCAGTTTGTCTAATGAAGGGATCCCTTCTGGATGTCTTACTAAAGCAAAAGAAGGACTGAAAGGATGGCTCCACTGGGAAGAGAGCTTCCTGTGTAAGCATGAGAAGCTGAGCTTGGATCCCAGAACCTATGAAAAATGCCAGGCCTGGCTCTATAGTCTCCTGTAACCCAGCCCTGTGGGGAATGGAGCTATGAGGACCACTTGGGTTTGTGGACCAGCAGCCTAGGCAGGTTCAGTGGGAGACCTCATTTTAAGGGAATAAGGCAGAGAGTGAGAGTAAGACCCTGACATCTTTGTCTGACCTCCATGATTGCACAGGTATGCACACCCATATACACATATGTACATACATACACCATGCCCACATACACACACACACACACACACACACACCACAGACACAAAATGAAAGTGGGTCTGAAAAGCCACTTGAAGTATAATCAGCATTTCCTCAATTATGAAAATGTTAATATAAATTCAAAAAGAATGAGTGGCCTTTGTTTTAACAACAGAAATGTTGTATACTTGCCACTACAGCACTGTACCCTTCAAAGATGACTAGGACACAGCACATGGGAGGCAGAAGTAGGAAGATCTCTGTGAGTTCGAGGCCAGCCTGGTCTACAAAGTGATTTCCAGGACAGCCAGGGCTGGTACAAAATAGGCACCCTATCTAAAGAGACGTGGCGGGAGGGTGCAAGGGAGGGAGAGAGAATGAGAGGGAAGAGGGAGGGAAGGAAGGAAGGAAGGAAGAAAGGAAGGAAAATGGTTAGGACAGCAAATTTATTTCAAAACAATAGAAAAGTCTAAAGCTTGGGTTTTAATAAAACATTTTCAAATCTTAGGACTTGGCTATTTTCTTTTGGGGATTTTAGAAAACTTATGTAGGGAATACAAGTTGTTCATGGTATTTTCTTTTTTAAAAAAAAAAAAATAGGACTTCTTGGCTTCAACCCAGAAAATGTATGGTGCTGACTTGGCCCCTGTGGATTTTCAGCATGCCTCTGAGGATGCAAGGAAGGAGATAAACCAGTGGGTCAAAGGTCAAACAGAAGGTGAGAGGCTGAGCAGTGCTGACTCTGTCAGTCAGTTTCCCTTCTGTAGCTCACACCTGACACAATCAGCTTGTGGACTAAAGGCTGATTTTGCCTCACAGTGTTGGAAGTTTCATTTTATTAATGATTGACCATATTGCTTTGCCCCCATGGCAACACTGTGCCTCTTGTTATGACAGCACAGCAGAGGAGGCATGTTCACATCACTGGTGAATAAAAACAAAGAGGGAGAGACCAGTGTCTCACAACCATTTTCAATACCAGTAAGCCTTCTCCAAAGTGAGATTGATGATAAAAGACCTACAATCCCAGTTCTTGGGAGGCTGAGGCAGGAGGATTGCTTTGATCACACATGGCAAGACCCTGTCTCAAAATAAAAACAAATTAAAAAACATTCCCAGTGATCTATAGGTGGGTAGACCCCCCAACCTAGGACTTACATTTTAAAGGTTCCTCCATCTTCCAATGCAGAATGGACCAGAGTCCAGTCCTTTAAGAGAGGGACCTTTGAGGGACCCCTCTGAACCATAGCAGAGCCATTGTGCACAGGTTCTCACTCCCCTGCACTCTCTCACTTGCATCTCCTTTCTCCCTTCCACAGCATCCCAAATCCTGACTTATGTGCACTGACATTCAGACGCTATTCCTTAGAATAAAGGAAAACGTAAAATGTCAGAAATGTATTAATGGAGAAATACAGACATGATATAATGGAACCAGTTGAGTACCTATGGGCTCCCCTGAAGTACAATTGAAAGTTAAAACCAACATTAAAATTCAGAATAAAATTAATGAAAATAGCAGTTTAGATGTGTTTAGTGCTTACATGGAAAGAAATTAGACATGAAACTTCACAGAACCATGAAGTCAGTGTTTAGAAACTGTTGCAGTCATAATATTTTGGCCACCATCTTATCCAGTAACTCAGAAGTAGTGGGTAGGGAGTGACTCACCCTCTGGGCTCAATTAGCTGTGTAATAGATCTGTCCTCAGTCTTGTTTCTGTGTGAGTCGGCACCCAGGCCTCCTGTCTGGAATTCTATCAGTTCCCAGAAGTGTGTTAGGCTGTGCAGAGCGTGGCTTCTGTTTCCATAGACTCATCTATTGGATAAGTCTTCTTATCTCTTGGACATTTGTTCAAAGTGCTTTTCAAAAGAGAAGGCTTCTACTCAGCAGATTTGAAGACACTATTTACCAGTGACCAAAGCATTTTCACTAAGGAATATTGTTTGTTTTCTGTAAAGAACAGCCATTCACAAAATAATGGTTATTGTTTGCATGGTAGAAAGGAGGACTTGCTTGTTTTGAACCTTTGAGGACATTGAATGATATTAATGATATTTTTTCTCTGGTTAAGGGGATAGAACCTAGGTTCTCAAGAAGCACTAGGCACAAGCCTGCCTGCTCTTTTAAATTGGTGTGTTTAAAATAAAATGAGACAAATGGGTCCTTCCTAACTGAACACTGGATTAAAACAAAATGAAGTGTGAAGTCTATGTTAGAGCTAAAAAATTATTGGGTTAAATTTACAATTCTAGTATGAATCTTTTGAAAAATCTTACTTTTTCTTTTCAGGTAAAATCCCAGAACTGTTGGCCGTGGGTGTGGTGGACAGCATGACCAAACTTGTGCTAGTGAATGCCATCTACTTCAAGGGAATGTGGGCGGAGAAATTCATGACACGAGACACAACAGATGCTCCATTCCGACTGAACAAGGTCAGGTGACACCATGATCTTGAGCTGTTCTTGGTTATGTGTGTGTGAGTACTGGGGTTGTAGCACAAGGCCTCCAGCATTGTCAGTCAAGCCTTTAACACTGAGCCCTCTACCCCAAGACCCCAAATTCCTCTCTGCTCTAAAAGACAAGAGGAAATAACTTGAGTATTTTTTAACCATTCAGAAAGATACAAAAACAGTGAAGATGATGTATCAAAAGAAAAAATTTCCATTTGGCTACATTCCGGACCTGAAGTGCAAGGTGCTGGAGATGCCTTACCAGGGTGGCGAACTTAGCATGGTCATCCTACTGCCTGAAAACATTGAGGACGAGTCCACAGGTCTTAAGAAGGTAACTGGTTCTCAATGCCATGGTTCATGTTTCCTTTCACTGTACTGGTCTCAGATTCCACATGTGTTCACTGACTGTAAACACTTGTTCATCCACAGACTTTACCAAAACTCTATTGCCATTACAGTCCCATTTTTGTCAATATAGTCCATCAGGTGGTACTATTCTGAGGCCTAACATTTATACAGTTATTATTACTATTATTGTTATTACTATCATCATTATTATTTTATTATTCACAGTGCCCAAGTACCTTGGGCTAGGTAAGTGTTCTGTCACTGAGACACACTTTCAGCCCAGAAGCCTAAAGTTTAAATGTTCAGAATATATTCTGACTTCAGCGACCCGTTGTGATGGGGGAACATGTAGATATTTAAAAGTAAAGGTAACAGAGATGAGTGGTCCCCCATACAAAGTCTCTTAAAGTAACTTTAAAGGAATTATAATAAGAATTGATTTGTTTTAGGGGATTGGGTGTCTCCTAACAGGGTTAGAAGTAGACAAACTCTGAAGATTACAGTTTTCCCTCAGAAATCCCAGGCTGCCATGTGACTTAGCTTCTGTTCCTTCCCAGCCTACACTTGCAATCAAGAAGGAGCCTGCTCTGCTGTCACTTGACTGTGCACTGACATGAATGTGGTGCATTTGTCAGCTGTATTTTCTGGCTGGTAATTTATCTCATTACAAAAGGATGCTCTGATCTAAAGGAAGAAATTGTCAGTATCCATAAGATAAGTGGTTCTGGTCTAGTCCAATAGAGGAACAATAATACTTAATATTTATATGGTACTTACTATGTGCCAAACCTTTACATTTATCAATTCATTCAACAGTTACAGTAATGCTACAAAGTTGGTATCATTAGCATAACCATTCCATTCCATTCCATTCCATTCCATTCCATTCCATTCCATTCC